AAGAGATGTGGAACAATATCAGATGGTCTAACAAATACATAACTGTAGATATAGAAAGGGAAGAGAGAAAGGGACGAAAGACATATCTGAAGAGATAAGGGCCAAGAATCTTCCAAAATTAATGAAAGACAACAAAACATAAGCCCAAGGGACACGGAGATCTCAAAAAGGTTTTAGCACAGACAGGAAACATAACGTAAACTACAAATAGGCACATTATTTTCAAATGGTTGAAAACAAAAGTTAAAAAAAAAATCTTGAAAGCAGTCAGAGAAAAAAGAAACATGAGAGGGTGGGGGTGGAGCACACATAAATACAGCCGACTTTTCAATAGCAACTATGGAAGCCAGAAGAGAATGGAACAGCATCTGTAAAAGTCAACCTAGAATTCTATACCCAGAGAAGAGTATCTTTCAAAAACAAGGTATTAGCTTGCATGGGCTGCCATAAGAAAACAGCACAGACTGGGTGGCTTAACAACAGAAATTTATTTCTCACAGTTCTGGAGGCTAGATGCCCAAGAGCAAGGTGTTGGCAGGTTGTTTTTTTTAAGGCCTCTCCTTATCTTACAGATGGTTGCGTTCTTGCTGTGTCCTCACGTTTTTTTTTTTCCCTCTGTGAGCACACAGCCCTGGTGTCTCTGTATGTCCCAATCTCCTCTTTTTACAGGGACACCAGTCAGATTGGATTAAGGCCCACCTATCAGCCTCTTCTTAACTTAATTACCTTTAAAGGCTCTATCTCCAAATGTAGTCACATTCTTGGAGTCAGGGATTCAAGAATATAAACTTTGCAGGGGACACAATTCAGCCCATAACACCCTGCCTTCTCTACTCCCCAAACTCACGTTCTTCCCACACACAAAACACATTCACCCCCATCCCAACAGCCCAAGAGTCTTAACCCGCTGCAGCATCAACTCTAAATCCCAAATCTCACGTAAATATCATCTAAATCAAGTGTGGTTGAGACTTAAAAAACATGATTCATCCCGAGGCAAAATTTCAATGTGGACCTGCTGAACCCAGACAAGTTAGCTGCTCTAAAATACAGTGGTGGGACAGGCATAGGCTAGACATTCCCATTCCAAAAGGGAGACCCTGGAAAGAAGAGAAAGGGGTCATGGGTCCCAAACAAGTCCAAAACCTAGCAGGTCAAATTCCATTAGATTAAAAAATATATATATTTATTTATTTATTTGGCTGTGTTGGGTCTTCACTGTGGCAGGTGGGATCTTTTGCTGCAGTGCTCATTGTGGCTCACGGGCTTCTCTCTACTTGTGGCGTGCAGGTTTTCTCTTCTCTAGTTGTGGCGCGCGGGCTCCAGAGAGCGTGGGCTCTGCAGTTTGCGGCACGCGGGCTCTCTTGTTGAGGTGCGCGAGCTCAGTAGTTGCAGCGTGCGGGCTTAGTTGCCCTGCAGCATGTGGGATCTTAGCTCCCCGACCAGGGATCGAACCCATGTCCCCTGCATTGGAAGGCATATTCTTTACCACTGGACCAACAGGGAAGTCCCTCATCAGATTTTAAGGCTTGAGAATAAGGCTCTTGGGCTGGATGCTGTCCTCCAGGCCCACTGGGGTGGCAGCTCCAGCCCTCTGGCCCTGGGTGGCAGCCTGGCCTATTGAAATCAAGGAGGAAGAGACAGCCTTGCCCACTAGGCCTGTGTCCTCTAGGCTGGTGAATATACGTTGTCAACAAGAAACTCACTGTAGCTATAAAGACATCGACAGCTTAAAGGCAAATATATGACAAAAGGTTTATTGTGCACTCATAATTCTAAAGAAAGCTGGAATGGTTACGTTAATGTTAGACAAAGCAGACTTCAGAGCATGGAGTATTACCAGCTTTGAAAAGAGATATTACATCATGATAAAAGAGTCAAGTCATCAAGAAGATATAGCAATCCTTAACGTGTATGCACTCAATAACAGAGCTTCAAGATGCATAAAGCGAAAGCCGGTAAGGTAAGAAAAATAAACAAACCCAGAAGTTTAGCTGGTAAGACAGCCGGCCTCTAGGAGGGCAAGGGAGCAAAACAATTCCGGGAAATCTTCAGATGTAAAGTAATATTTCTGTAGGCCAGGCAGTTGCAGATAATAGGGTCATAACGCAGGATGGAGTCTGAGTGGTTCTCCTGACATCAACGTCAGATTATCCAAAGCTACCGGATGGCACCGAGGAAACTGTCTTGGGTCACCAAATAAACCATCAGCAAGGTATATACTAATAAGCATTCTTTACACGTACAGTACGGTGCCAGGCACTTTAGAAATACAAGACATGGTTCTGGCAGTGAAGAAACTCATCTAGTTAGGGAGTAAGAATCATAACTATGAAATACAAAGTAAAAAACTATGCAGAACTCACTAGAATTCACTCACTCATCTGAGTTAGTAAGCAAGTACCAAGTACCTGACGTGGTGCGAGTTTTAAGATGAAAATGATATGGTTCATGTCCTCAGCTGACAGAAAGCCTCGACTAACGGGAAGACAGATATGAAAACTAGTAAGTACGAGTGTCACAGGTCATACAGAAGCCCTAAGGAGGGAGTGGCACATTGGGCCTGGGGTTTCAGGAAAGAACTCAAAAAAGAAATGGTGCCTGAGCTGAGTTTAAAAACTCAGATTCCTATTTAGATATTCCCCAGGGAGACAAGGCAGGAAAGGGCAGAGCAGGCAGAGGGACACAAATGTGAAAACTGTAAGTCAATTAACAGTTTGAAAGACTGTCAGTTGTTGTATGCTTCAGGGATAGGGTGAGGAGAGATGTGCATTTAAGAATCAGGCCAAATGGAAGGAGGCCTTGTGTGCTTTGATAAGAAGCACGGACTGTATCCTGCCTGCCTTTCTCCTTCCCTTTCTCTCATTCCTTAAACAAACCTTTACTGAGCAGATACTATGTGCTAGGCATTATTCTTCGTACAGACAACAGTGCTGAAAAAGACAGACAAGGCTCTTGTCCTGTCCTCACGGGGGTGTGTGACCGAGGGGAGCATGGTGGCAGTGAAACGCATGGGACATACAGAGTGGAGTAACACAAACGTCAAGTGCAGAAGGCTCTACCTCCCCGAAGAAAACACACGCGCAAAATAAACCAACGTGCATACTTAGCGGTGATCTCTATCTAATGTTTCTTGGGCTTCAAAAAGTAAAGTCAAACCTTGCTCACAATAGGCAAGTCATTTTGTATTATCACAGGTCATCTTTCTCGACAGCCTGCACCACTCCCTTAAAATCTTACTTGGAGAGAGGTGGCAGAAAATGGGTCGGTTTCTCCACCAAACTCGAGCTGCTCTGGAGAGGCTGATGGAAGGTGTGGTTAGTTGCTGTGCCCCTTTACAGATGACCCTAGTCACCTGCTCCCCAGGTTTTCCAGGGCTGCTGCTGAAGATACAGTTTCACACGCCTCATGCAACAACTTCAGTAACTGAAGCAGGTTCTCAGCCAAGGGGAAACGTGACAATATTAACATGATTCATGTATGTGAGCAAAGCTGTTTGGATGATAACATGTGGGATGGCATGCCTTCTATTGAATTCCTGGTTTTTCACTCAAAACTTTCTGGAAAACTCTTAGCTTGAGATTTTCTACCTTGGCCTCACCCTGAAGGTATTTTTTTTTCCCCTTAGAAAGACTGATTACTTCCATTCAGGCATATTTGGAAAACAGGACTGAGCCAAAATACTTTTTTTCATTTCAAAGACAAGTTGTTTCACAAAGAAATAATTTAATGCCAGTTAAACTTTGATACATCACTGTTCGTGCTTTAAGATGCCCTGTCTCTCTGCAAAATTTTGAAGTGGAGTTTCTAAAATTAACTGGCTGTGTGCTCTGTTTCCAGCGGGCTTCCAGTGGCATGTTAACTTCATGGTTATTAATATCAAAAGGAGCTACTAGAAATTCGATTTAATTCTGTCCTTTAAATTTCTCCCTCTTTTGAGAAGAAAGAAATTAAAATTTCCATGGCAACACGCTAAATCTGAGAGGTCGGCCTTACCTTTTCCATCACACAAATCAGGTGGGTGACCGACAGGCCGTTAAATGGGTCTGTTTTTAGGCAATGTCCACACCCGGGAGTCAGTCCTGCCCTGACCCCAGCGTGCAGTTCTCGACCCGCGGCCGTCACTGCTCCCTGCAACCTCACACCACAGGATGTGCCCTATGCGACACAGCCTCCGCTCATGCGTTGTAGGTGAACAGACAGGAGGCGTTCAGCTGGAAGACGGTGCACAGCTTTGACACGCTGGTGCAGAGCTCCAGCAGACTGATGGCACGATCACATCTACAAGGGGCTGGGACACCATCAACCCCACTCTGTGGCCGGGAACAAAAGCAGCTTAGGATTACTGTTCTAAAGCTGCTCGATTTCTTCTTTTCTATTTTTATTTCTCAGTGTTTATTCCATTTTTCTTTCTTTTACTTTCCATGTCTGCCCTCACCCCGTTTTCTCCTTGTTTCTTTTATTGATGGTTTTTGCCTCCTTTTAGCCTTCTCATTTTCTCTACTGAACTAAAAAAATCACGACATGGAAAAAAGAGAACCAATGGATTTTACAGGCAACAGTAAACAGAAAGTGGAGCAGAAGAGGGTAACCTAAACTAATTCATCTAATGGTCCTTTTATTGAAAAACTTAGTAGGTTGTGACCCACAGTTCCCTAGAGACAGCTGACTTGTCAAGGATCCTCATCCAAATATCCCCAACTCAGACTTCCTGTCCGTGGTCACAGTCACGAGTGGCCATCAGTTCTGTGAAATAACAGATTCCCCTTAACCCTCTCCCTTCCGAACCAGCCCTTTCTGATTCTTTGGCAAGTTACACTGAGGGAAGAATAAAGTGGGGCTTACGTCAAATGGTAGCTCCTAATACCTACTGAAGAGCCAACCACTGCTAAGAATCTTGACTCTGAACCCCGAATACTCCAAGGCAGCTTCTACTGCGTCAACCTACAGAGCAGCTGAGTTTTGTGAGGGTGTCGCCAGAGCTCAGGTGAGAGGCTTACCTGTTCCTGGGTCATCTTCTGCAGCTCATTCTCCCATGCTGCCTGGTCATCGTCCAAGTTATAGGAAGCTGGTGGAGTGAGTCCTTGAAGAATCAGGGGGTCTCGGTCATGGCAGAGGGCTGTCAGGTGTCCAATGTACAACTTTAGTTTGCTTCTGTTTTGGTCAAGTTCTAAGAGGGGCTGGATGATCTGAGGTGAAAAAAAATGAGGAAAGTCAAGGTCAATCTGAAACACGAAGTTCCAGTCTCTTTATGCCTCCCAAGGCAAAGAAACGGAGCAAGACTAGAGCTCTTGTAATCACTACCGCAGTCTTCGGGACTGTAGAGAGAAGCAGGTCCATACACCTGCACGTGTACATGGTCACACCCACCCACTGTTCTGGGGACTGCGTGGGGACCGCTGGCATGGATATCAACGCGAGATGCAGTTCTGACTTTGGGCTGGAGATCAAGCACAGGGTGAGCTTGTGTTTGCAGAGGTGGCACTCCTGATACAGAAAGACTCCAGTTACTTCACAAGTGCTCATCCCATCTATTTACAAGGTTGTTACAAAAGACTGCTGCTGGCTCACTTGGTTGTGAAGCAGCAACTAACACACCATTGTAAAGCAGTGATACCCTAAAAAGATGTAAAAAACGCCAAAACTCCTAGTGAGACTAACACACCATTGTAAAGCAGTGATACCCTAAAAAGATGTAAAAAAACGCCAAAACTCCTAGTGAGACGTGCTCATCTGAAAGCCTGATGCCACATGCTACGTGTGTTCCTTCACCTCCTACTATGGAAGGAAGGTTCTGCCTCTGGAGAAAGTGCGTGTTTTTCTCGGCCACGAGATGTGGTGAGTGAACTCATGACTAGATCTGCCTCCTGGCTGGAGCTCCCTCGTTCACTGGGCCGAGGCCATCGATCCTCCTTTTAATGGGTGACAGATAAATCCTTACACAACGCCAGACCCCTGAGCCTGAGCCCGGGCCCAGTGTGACGCTGGGTCTCTTCTCTTGAATAGCAGTCCTGCGCTAACTCTGTTTTGTGTCCCCTTTACCCTGGATGAATAACTATCACCTCGGCTCCCTCTGAAAGCACATCAAAGGACAAATGACTTCATCGGGCAGCTCTCGGGCCCGATGACACTCGGTACTGGCAAGCCTGAGGGGCTGAGGCAGAGCTGGGCCGGCTCTCCAACGCTGAAACGCTGGCACAGCGTCTGCCTGACACACAGCAGCTGGGGGAGCCGCCAACCCACCAGATGCTGGCAGGCCCCAGACGTTCCCGGGGCTCACAGGCAGGGTCTGCACCTGCTGTGTGTCACCGGGCCGGCACTTTACACCAGCAGGACACCTCTGACCCACCTAATGGACAAGGAGCTCACTCATCTTCAAGTCAACAGAAACAAGGCCTGGTATTACTTTCAGCAGTGACACTGATTTCTTCCTGGCCTCAGAGGACTCCCCTGCTGCTTTCCTTTTAAGAGTTTCTAAAATAAAGTTTTATGTTTTTTATTGTGAAATCAATGCATATTTTACTCTGAAAAGTATGGGAGAAAATATAAAAGAAATAATAAATAGCCTATAGGTATTCCATCAAGAATACCACTTGCAACATTTTGCTGATTTTCTTCCAAGTCTTTTTATAAACTTACATAAATCAACTTTTAACAGTATCATACTTCACGTTTTGTTTAATACCCTGTTTATCCATTTAGTGTTATATTGTGAGTACTATTCACATTACGTATTCCTGGAAAACATGATTTTTAATGGTTGCTTTATAAATATATCACATTTCCTCTGTTTCTAATACTATTTCCATAAAATAGTTAAGAGAGGGAACTAAGCCAGGGCTTAGTGTCTAAAACGATCTTTAACTTACTAGAGAGATCAGAGTTCAGAGTTTAGGCCTACGTGGTATATAATATAATATAGAAATTGGAGCCTGTCTAGACAAACCAGAGAAAGTGAACACATTCAGCATTATTATTGCTTTTAACACACACACACACACACACACACACACACACACACACACACACACACACAATTCCCTAAGGATAAAGGTTACACATTCAGGGGCTGGGGTGGAAGGCTCTGGGCTCTGTAAGGGACCCCTAATCAGCAGGCTCGTGGTACGAGTCCTGTGTTACCCGTGGTATCAACACTGCCAACCACAGAAGGACGAGACTGTTTTGCAGAGGATTTGGAGACTGGGGAAGTTGGATAGCTTTCTACAAACAACACTAATCTCTCAAAAAAGACTTGTATTTTATTCCTGGCCACAAATGCACATTCACAGTGTAGAAGATTTAGAAAGAGTTCCAAAGCAGAATCTTTAAAGGCAAGTTCAAGGCAACTCCTTTAAATGCATGTTCACCTTGCACGTCAATATCCCAACTGTCTAGCCACGGCTCTCCTACCACACCCCTCATGCCTCCGCACACGGCAGCCCTATTTCATTTCCCGTGTTTTTAGCTTGGCCTCCTCCAGCTTCTTTCATGGACACATTGATTTAAAAAAATCACTTTGGGGATTTTCATTGGATTTGTGCAACTTACTCCCATTCTTTGTGTGTGTGTCTGTGTATAGTTGCCATCACATCTGGGCTGCAAGGCTGAAAGCTGGTATCTTAGGTAATCACTGTTTGAGTTGGAAAACTGACAGAAAAAAGCACGAGCTCTGAGGAAGAAGACAATGTGATAAATGGTGGTAGTGGAGAGGTCAAATTTTTCACAGTAAAATGGAATCTGGAAAGATACTAGCTCACTGCTGTATGACTGGGAATGAAAAAGTGGACTTTTTAAGGTCCCTGTTCTTAATCAGAGATGAATCTCAAACTGATTTAAATGTATTTCATGCTGAGGTGCTGACAGATTACAAAATATGTAGTGTTTTGCACTCTGAAATTTTTCAAAGTCCAATTGAAAAGTTAAAAAATGATGGAATCTGAAAAATTTTTCGAGGATAAAAATTCATTCCATGCAATGACCAAGATGCCCTTTCTTCTCATGTCAAAAGGAGTCGCTTTTTTAAAACAAAACAAAAAAACTATAGAGCTTACTCGGTGAAAGTGTATGAAACTGCCCGACCAGCACAGTTCTCAAATCTATCCATCAAGGGGGAAAAAAAAAAAAAGTCACCGTGGCCTCTCTGGGACACATTCAACCATGTCAATCATGTGGGAAATGTCCTTATCTCTTCCTTCTCCCCATCTAACTTGGGCAGGCCACTCAGAAAAGAAACTGCATTTCCCACAAGGTAGAACTGCCACTGCCTAATCTCAAGAGGGAAGAGGGACACTTGCCAAGTAGGAAAAGGATGCCTTACAGGATCCAGAGGTTATGTCTTTTGTCCACATACAACCTCAGTACATTGGCAAGAAGTCCTACCCAAAGCTGTCAGTAATGCGGTCAGACCACATCAGTCCTACAGCTATGCAGAATTAGAATTACCTATCTTTTTCTCGGCATAAAGAAGTTAAAAAATGAACTTGTCAAGATAACCTCTGCTTTTATCAAATATAATGCCAAAATGTCAATATCCCCCCAATCCTACATTTACGGAGCTGTTAAGGAAAATAATTTAAATTATGAAGGGGAATGAGAGCTTTCTGGTTGACTTACTGAAAGCTCTGTTTCTTCTTGCAAGGATTTATTTATGTATCAGCCCCTCAAATTGGCTTCAGAGGCCAGCATTTGATGACACATGGTGATGGAAGACAGTGACCTCCGGAAGGTGTTTATTTTAACCTCCCTTCCACTCGAGCAGGTTAGATGGCTAGAGATCTTCTGGAAGACAGACCAGCTGCTCCTCTATTGTTCGATACAGATTGCAACTGAAAATTCTACAGCATCCCGTTTCTGCAACCCATTCATCTAAGACATGGGAACACAGGTTCTTGGACCAGGATGGGACGTTCAGTGAAAGGCCCCTCCAGTCAATTCCATGGTCTGCCCCCTTCTCCCCACTCCACTGTTTCTGTACTAGATCTTTAATCTAAGTATAGGTGGGTTGGTTACGGCACATTCTGGGAGCTCATTCTGAGAGGAAAGGTATACCTTGAACTGAATATCACTTGGGACTTAAGGCATTTGCCCTTGCAGTACTAATATTTTATTGTTTGGAAGATGCCACTGTTTTTCAAGCTAACATTTATTGATCGTTTACTGTGTTCCTGGCAAATTATTTTTATATTTACTATGGTTCCTCTGTCGCTACAAAATCCTCTTACTCTTCTGTCTATCTGCGGAAGTCCTCGGAGGCAGGTTCAGCTGTCCCTGGATTACTGCATAAATGCCAGTAGCAGTTCTGACTTCTCACTGGGTCATCGTTACACCACTGTCCCCCAGTGTAGGCTCACCAAAGAAGTCCTGGAACAACTAACGTATTAACTTCCCAGAAACATTATTCTTTTAATGACATTCTTGTCCAGAGGCCCCAGCAGAGAGCTAAACTCTGAAAAGTAAAAAAGGAAGCAAGGGAATAAAATTCAATGGTCTAGCCTCGAAGTCTTTTCTCTCAAGAACTCACTTCACCCTTCTTGGTTGCGGTGTGCGTGAGGATGAGGAAGATGAAGGACGGTACTGGGTCTCTTCACAAAGTTTTGGACCTTTGTGTTGCTTTCTCACTTTAATGCAGCTACTTTGTGCAAGAATGTGGCTCTTTGAACAAAGGTCGTAAACTGTCGTGATATTTTTGCTACATTAACTGGATACACTGCGCATCAAATCACACATATCGACACTGAGAACATCACGTGATTCTCTTAACAAACATGCAGTGGGCGCCTCTGTGCCACGCCACAGCCAGCTCTTGCTGGCAGGAATATTAAGAACGAGATGTGGTCCTGTTCTGCATTAAAAAAAAAATCACGAACTAATGGAACTAATGTGTTGAGTGTATATAAGAAGTAAAAGGCGTATATTCAGGATTTATCTTTGTTTTGACTTTAGTTTTGACGTTTACTTTAGGCAGACCCTTAAATTGCTAAATCAACCTCTTCACCTTGATTTGAGGCTCAGTGTGACGTAGTCTTCACATATAAGGTTATAAAACTCAACAACTTGTTTATTCTTAGTGGTCTCTGAGAGCCAACCTTTTAATTTAGCCTTCCCATTTGGAGCACAAACAGAAGGATACTCAATGGACCCCCTAAATGTTTTTGGTGTTATGGTCCTTACTCACTTGTAATCCTAGCAA